GTAATGGTATTTAGATATCACACAATACAATTCATTCCGAGTTACGAGTAAGTGCAAAAAGCAGAGAGTCAACGGATGAATGCAAACACAAAACATTAACGGCCTCTATTATAACCAAGTTTCCCTCAATTTGATAAACTTTAAAAACTTTATATTTTTATAGACTTTACATCCAAGTTTGCGAGGATTTAATGAATAATGTATGCCTTTTTTTTGTTACCTTTAATATATTATACAATTCTTGTCACTGGACTAGGAATATAATGAAAAATATTAAAGTCGTTCGTGGGATGTAAAATCTTTATAGTAATTTTATTTTGAAACACCAGAATATTGTGCAATATATTGTATCACTGGATATTTTTGTACGAATCTATAATTCCAGTGGTGGTTTTTTTTGGTACAAGTCAGTATTCGTTTTGAGGAAGAGTCAGAAAATATGCTACTGACGAACTTCGGCCAAATTTTGTTCTCGCTTACTTCTAAGTAGCTCTGTCTTTTTCAGGCTGTGCGAGTATAAGTTTGTATAAGAAATGAGAGGTGAAATCTAATACATTAATCAATAAAAGTTCAAGTGGGATACTAACAACAGTAATGAGCAAGATCAATGTAAACAGTGTGTCACCAGTATAATATATATATATATATATATATATATATATATATATATATATATATATATATATATATATATATATATATATATATATATATATATATATATATATATGTCGTGCCGAATATGTAAAACTGGTCAATTAGCAAGAACTCATTTAAAATTAAGTCCTTTCTGAAATTTTCTCTTATACGTTTAAAGATATATTTTTTTCATTAATGTTAATGTAAATTTTTTTAATTATGCACCAAAAGACTCTTAGAAAACTTACCTAACCTTATTATAACAAGAGCAATTTATTTTAGCCTAACCCAACTAAATACATTTTAGATTTGTTTACAATAATTTAATAATAAACAAACACAGTGAAATATATTTCTTTCGTTAGGTTCAGAATGATTTTGACGAAATTATTGCATACACAAATTTTCACTTGTCCTATATGACAAGATGAGCGTTGCTATTTAAGCCAAGATCGCAAGTTCTGCCTATTCGGCACGACATTATATATATATATATATATATATATATATATATATATATAAAATGTCGTGCCGAGTAAGCAAAACTGGTCAATTAGCAAGAACTCATTTAAAATTAAGTCCTTCAATTTACTCTACATAGAGCAACATTCTATCAAATAAAAGTTTGCTCTGGATTTACATATTTTCTTCTTTTCATGAGATGAAATCAGCCTTCTGAGAGCAAATATGAGAACCTCATCTTCTCGCGTTTAAATAGTAAGATCATCAAGACATTAAAAATTCATTAAAGAACGGGCCTTTGCTCTCTCACTATTACTACTATTTTCACTTATGTACTAATTAAAACTATCTTAATCAACGGGACATTTTATCGCCATAACAGGTTACGGAGTCATTCCAGTCCTCGAAATCTCTTAAAAAAAATATTTTTCGTCTTTGCGTTATCCTCACCAAGAATTTTTGGAAAGTCTGATGAAAAATTATTTTCTCTCCTCGAATTCGATGGTCAGATCCGGATGAAAACTTACCTGGAATCTAGTATGGGAGGGGAAAGACGTCTCTCTCCTCAAACCTAGATTTAAATAGACTAAATAGTTATAATAATAAGAATAATTTTGAAAGGGGTGGACCGGCAAGGCACAGCGGAAGGCCTCGCTCGGATGACCAAAAGCTCCAACTGCAGGTCATATGACTAAGACCCGCGTAGGTAAATATTTGTCCTCTTTCCTGATGAACATTACCTTACCTAACCTAACTTAACCTAACCTAACCTTACCTAACCTAGCTTGAGACCAGGGTTCCCAAAAGCGGTTAATAAATGGCTGGGGGTCAAAAAGGGGTCAATAAATGTTAATCATATCAAAATTTCAGTAAAAAAGCGTATGCTAAATCTTACATGTTTTTTATAATTTAAATATTACCTATTTTTATAGAGGTATTATTGCTATTATTTATTATTAATATTCATAGTACTATTAGTTAAAGTACTATATATTAAATTGTTTTCAAATAATGAATATTTGGGGGTGGATGACTAATCTGAAACTTAATGACGAGGTGGATGAGCTGGAGAGTTTGGTGACAGACATAGACTAAGGAACCGAAAACCTATCAAGGGTAAGGAACTGAGCACCTTAAAATTACCTCTCTGCTTCTTCCACTGTCTTTGATATTTTGGTTGTTTCCGTATTAGACTAATAAAAAAAAACTGCTGTGCAAACATCACATTTCTTCCATAAAGATACCCAATTGTTGCACGTCTTCAATATTCATCAACTTGTGGGCACTGTATGCAATACAAGCCACCAGGAAATGGGAAAAAATAGCAATGATATAAGTCTCTGCCTACAGGACTCTCAATAAAATCATTCAAAACTCATTGTAAGAAGCCTTATTATAGAGTAAGGTTTATTATAGAGTAAGGTTTATTATAGAGTAAGGTTTATTATAGAGTAAGGTTTATTATAGAATAAGGTTTATTATAGAACAAGGTTTGTTATAGAATAAGGTTTGTTATGGAATAAGGTTTATTATAGAGTAAGGTTTGTTACAGAGTAAGGTTTGTTACAGAGTAAGGTATATTATATAGTAAGGTTTATTATAATGTTTATTATAGAGCAAAGTTTATTATAGAGTAAGGATTATTATTATCGTAACGAAGCTAATCCTAGAATTGAGAAGATTGACCTATAAGGTAAGTGAAATATAACTGAACTTGACCGACTTTCAAGAGAGAAGACGGTACTCAAGAAGACACGATATGAAGACAGTAAAAACATTTTGAAAAAATGAGATTGGGTTTTATAGGTCACAGACTGAAGATAAGAACTAAAATGACTCACAGGAATACTATGATATATTCATTCAACCGAAAGAGGAAGTGGTATACTCTAGACAGATTCTTATGCATAAGTGTAAGGATAGGTACGATAGAGTCCATGAGCTTGGGAATTTGGTGAAATCGATCTCATTATTTTGCGACATGTGTAGGGTATATCATGATGTAGTGTCTCCAGCTTGGAGCCACTACAACGTCAAGCATACACAAAAAACTCGATAAGGTCAAAAGGTTTGCAACAGTCCCCCGAGCGGAAGGGATTGAGGTATGAAGAGACTAAAGGAACTGAACCTGGCGACTTTAGAAGAAAGAACTAAAGAAGAATTATGCACATGCAAGATACTCCAAAGAGTTGACAGAGCAGATAGGGATATGCTTTTTTAATAATAATTCATATAGGGGCGAGGGTCATAGAAGCCAAAAACACAGACGAGCCTCGGAGATGTTAGGAAATAGTTTTTTCAATATACAGGTTGTAAATGAGCTAGATGAGGAAATAGTAGAGGAACATTCACTACATATGTTCAAGAGCAGGTATAATGATTCCCAAAAGACCAGGAACCAATAATGATGCCTACTTTAGTTCAAGAGGTGGGAGCCAGGAACTTAAACTTGACACCAGAAACACAGCTTGGTGAGTATAACTCTGCGAGAACACTTCGTACATATCATATATACCCATAAACACGCATGCTCACAGACGCATGAATATCCACAAACAAATACACATCAACAGGCGAATATTCACATGACATTCGTTTTTTGGGGTTCCATTTTGTTGTTATATTCCAGAGAGTCTATTATTATCTTTATATTACCATAGAAGCTCTAAACGTTTAGGGGTCATATAGTTCCTAGGGAACGGGTGGTAATAAGGTGTAATCCAAAGAAGGGCAGCTCCAATTCCTACTATCAAGAGTTCTTTAAAGAGAGCGAGTCCATAATACTCACCCTATGAATGAGCAGAAAAAATGTACGGTACACACAAGTGAAAAAATATGCTCAGGAAAATTACCACCACCGAGTTACATAAAGGCGAAATGACCACACATCAGAAACAGTGTGCGCGAGGTACTGTTATGAGTGCTGCAGAGAGTGCCACCAGAACTTAGTGAGTAAACCACAAGACAAAGCAGTACCAAGTATCGGGGAGGGCTATTAGGGGACCTTAACACAAAGTGCCAAAAAGATTTCAAGAGCTTGAAAGGGTCTCAGAGGAGTGCAAATAATGGTGCCAAGATGTGTGCAACCGAGCGTGGAGAAGAACAGCATCAAACAAGAAGGCAAGAGGGGATAATGGATGAATGATAATGTATTCATCTTGGAGAATGCTTCTAATAGTGAGCGGAGACGCTGAATTATTATATTCATGAGAATGCTGGAAGCTCATAAGGGGTCATAAAGCGCCTGTGGAATGGGAGGCTATTAGTCTTGATCCAAGGAAGATGGTGGCTTCACTTCCTGGGGCAAGAAATTCTTCATCACCACGCTTTCTGCTTTTCTATCTTTGACTCATACAACTAAATAATTCATCATAATTCTTAGATGCAGGTAGTCCTCAGCAGACAGCCTCGGTGTGGACTTACAAATCCTCTGCTGTCTCTACCATGTACTCCCATACCTCTCCTTGAAGAGCGGAGAGGTAGAAAGGTCAGGCGTGACAGCATGGAAAGTGAAGGATGAATGTGACAGAACTGACAGACGTATCAAGTGTGAAAGATAATTAGAGCGAGAGTGGGAGGACGGGCGCAAGATATCACTTGACAGGAGCGACAATGTTAAATACTGCTACGGTAAAAAAAAAAAAGAGTAAAAAGGCCCTGGGAGAGTGGCAGGAAACGAGTAGGTAAAAAAATGTCATTAGAAATGACAGGTCGAGTATCATTAAAAGTGAAGGCTAGACTTTGTAAGTGACAGGAATCAGCAGCATTGAAAGCGACGGAAAGAATACTGGGAAAGAGAGGAATTCCACTGGGAATGCCGTTAAGAAGGGTTAATGGTGCCAGCGTAACCATTATCCCAGGTAGAGAGAGAGAAAGAGAGAGGGGGGGAGGGGGGTTACCTTGTGGCTGGACTCGGGCAGTGAGATGAAGGAGTTGATGTGGGTTGGCGTTCTCCCACACCTCCACAGTGTATTCCGTCTGCTCGAACTCTACAGGTCCACTGCCAACCAGTTTGGTCACTGCCGGAAGAGAAAGAGAGCAAATGAACCACTGAAGTAACCTGGTTTCAGCACTTCTATTATACACATATCGTAGTAATAAAGATAAAAAGTCTCAGTTCCTTGACTGGAATAATTCACAATTAACACAAAATAGAAAAAACCTTAAATGACGTTTCGATTCGTCCTAAACTACGAATAGTCCAGGGCGAGCCGAAACGTCTTCTAATTAATTTTCTTTTAACTGTTGTGTCATGCAAAGATCATGTTACAATTTATTCGGCGTGTGTTACACTCCCATATAGGCTGCCTCCCAACTAGCGCACCGGGTGCTAATGGTTTAACGATTGATAGGGTACTCGTCGTTAAATCAGTACCTTGGTTCATTGACTAATCACAGGCAAGCCCGCCAAAGCTGAAGCAACGTGGTTCACTTGTGGTAAGCATTGGCAGACTTGCCTACCTGCTGGTTGAGTATGTTGCACTCTCTCTGGCTTCTGCTTTGCCATCTATCACCGTCGTGTACACCTATTGTATCTGTACATACTGTACATACCATGTATATAGTGGGTGAAGGCAAAATATACATTATAGTCTACTGCTGAGTTTGTTTGCTCCAATTCCCATTACGCCCAGGTCTCACAGGCCATTCATTACCTGTGTTCGTAATAATTGTGGACTAGCCGTGAACTGCATCACATAAAAACAGACACTGAGGAAAGGAAAGCGGCGCAATAAGCTTGACAGTGGAACAATCTGTTGATTCTTGCATCGTTACTGAATAAAAAAAATGCATTTTCTTTAATATTCTACTGGAAATTATGAAGCAATTTACTGTACAAACTTATGTTCACAAACCATTAAGGAGCTCAAGAATGATCTTTGCTGTGTTCAGATTCGTCAAGAAGGGAGGTGCCTTGATTCAAGGAATCAGACCTACCCTTCCGTGAATCAAAGCTGATTATCACCAATTTCCCTGGCTTTGTATGTCTTCTACAGGTTTAGCGCTTCACCAATAATAATAATAGTTTAATTATAGCTTAGTAATGTTCAATTATCATAAACACTGTCTTATGTTCTGATTATATTTTGCACATTTATACTTGGTCGCCCAAAGATATATATACCGAGAGCTGTAGATCTCTTAGTGTACAACACAAGATAAACGCTGAAAGTTTAATTTAATCCCTATTTTAGTAACTGTGGTGAACAGGTTATTTGTAGTTTGAGCTGTGGTGAAGAAAACAGATACTCTCTAGAAGTTTTGCTACAGTTTGCCCTCCGGTCCCAGTCTAGCACGCATCTATGGGTTGGTCAAAACCCAAAACAAACATACCTTTTCACTCCATCACCGCTGGCATTGGCAGTACTCCTCATAAGTTAATAGATCTTCTGGCCAAACATCTCTCTAATCCTTTAAGTTTGGTCTGCTAATCACCTGTCGAACACTCAGGTGATCTCTCATACGTCTGAACACGACGATGAAGAAGAAGTTTGCCAGCCAGGATGTCGCCTCCTTTTTTACTCAAGTCTCCACTGACTAAGTAATTGCCTTCCTCCGCAACTCTTCCATCATCGGTAACAAACTCCCAATACCCGCACAGGAGCTCATCGAATTTACGAAACTGTGCGTGATTTTTAATTTGTTCTCACACGAAGAAAGGTTCTACAAGCAGAAGTTTGATTAGCCAGCTCAGTACTGCCTATCCTGCGCCGAGATCTTAGTAGACAGAAGTTTCAACCAACATTCATTCAGGGAAAATCTCAATCAAGTGGAATTCTCTATTCAGTTCACACATGAAGAACAAAATAGCTCTCTACCTTTTGTTGTTATTCTCATCAAGAATAATGACACCTTTAAGTAAAAACAGTATACAGAAAGCTAACAAATGCAAACTACTGAGTCCACTGCTGCTCTCATCATGACCTTAGAGCAAATAGAGGGATGAAAAAAAAGGATTCTTTCTAAGCATCCTCAGGATTTATAGCAGTGAACACCTTCTTGAAGAACATGAATATATAGATAGAACTTTTTCCGCCTTGAACCTTCCTAAACACATTATCAAGGCTAAACATGTTTTCAAATCCCATAGATCGTATTCAGAATCTACACACAGGACAGACAATGACTACATCTATTCCATTTGCTGCTGACGTTGCAGTGGTGGTACTCACAAAAAGAAAAAAAAAAAAAAAACTTCAAAAGAAATCAACCGGACTCTCTAACTCGTAAAGAACGAAGTCATGGCAAGGATATAAAGTAAACAACGTGGGGAAGGTGGGGGATGTAATCCCATGTACACAGAAGAAATATAGAGGGACTTGGGTACCCATCTAAAACCCAGATACGGAATATGTGTGTGTGTGCTACAGTGCCTGAGTCTCCAAGAATCACATCTTTTATTCTCTAGAGGCGGTGGTCACGTCTTGAACCAGCAACTGTACTTGTCTCTAACACCATCACACAAAACAGAGGTAAACACATTTTAGCAAAACCCATCATAAAACTAATCTGAAATAACATGAAAAACACAGATAACCAGAACCCGACCTCGTGATTCGGGCCACATTAAACATTAATCAACTGCACCTTACACAAATAACCCGCACATAGGAGAATGAAACTTATGACGACGTTTCGGTCAGACTTGGACCATTAACTAGTCACACAGAAGCGTTTAGTGAAAGGGAGACAGTATACATGAGAGAGGGGGCAGGGCCAGGAGTAGAGCGAGAAGTACTAGTATTGGTAGTAGTGGTAGTAGTAGTAGCAGTGGTGGTGGTGGTGGTGGTGGTGGTGGTGGTAGTAGTGGTGGTGGTAGTAGTGGTGGTGGTGGTGGTAGTAGTGGTGGTGGTGGTAGTGGTGGTGGTGGTAGTAGTAGTGGTGGTGGTGGTGGTGGTGGTGGTGGTGGTGGTGGTAGTAGTAGTAGTGGTGGTGGTGGTGGTGGTGGTGGTGGTGGTAGTAGTAGTGGTGGTGGTGGTGGTGGTGGTAGTAGTACTAGTCGTAGTAGTACTAGTACTAGTAGTACTACGACTAGTAGTACGACTAGTACTAGTGCTACTAGTACTAGTAGTAGTACTAGTGCTACTAGTACTAGTAGTAGTACTAGTACTAGTAGTAGTACTAGTACTAGTAGTACTAGTAGTTTACCTGGAGTTTACCTGGAGAGAGTTCCGGGGGTCAACGCCCCCGCGGCCCGGTCTGTGACCAGGCCTCCTGGTGGATCAGAGCCTGATCAACCAGGCTGTTACTGCTGGCTGCACGCAAACCAACGTACGAGCCACAGCCCGGCTGATCAGGAACCGACTTTAGGTGCTTGTCCAGTGCCAGCTTGAAGACTGCCAGGGGTCTGTTGGTAATCCCCCTTATGTATGCTGGGAGGCAGTTGAACAGTCTCGGGCCCCTGACACTTATTGTATGGTCTCTTAACGTGCTAGTGACACCCCTGCTTTTCATTGGGGGGATGTTGCATCGTCTGCCAAGTCTTTTGCTTTCGTAGTGAGTGATTTTCGTGTGCAAGTTCGGTACTAGTCCCTCTAGGATTTTCCAGGTGTATATAATCATGTATCTCTCCCGCCTGCGTTCCAGGGAATACAGGTTCAGAAACCTCAAGCGCTCCCAGCAATTGAGGTGTTTTATCTCCGTTATGCGCGCCGTGAAGGTTCTCTGTACATTTTCTAGGTCAGCAATTTCACCTGCCTTGAAAGGTGCTGTTAGTGTGCAGCAATATTCCAGCCTAGATAGAACAAGTGACCTGAAGAGTGTCATCATGGGCTTGGCATCCCTCGTTTTGAAGGTTCTCATTATCCATCCTGTCATTTTTCTAGCAGATGCGATCGATACAATGTTATGGTCCTTGAAGGTGAGATCCTCCGACATGATCACTCCCAGGTCTTTGACGTTGGTGTTTCGCTCTATTTTGTGGCCAGAATTTGTTTTGTACTCTGATGAAGATTTAATTTCCTCGTGTTTACCATATCTGAGTAATTGAAATTTCTCATCGTTGAACTTCATATTGTTTTCTGCAGCCCACTGAAAGATTTGGCTGATGTCCGCCTGGAGCCTTGCAGTGTCTGCAATGGAAGACACTGTCATGCAGATTCGGGTGTCATCTGCAAAGGAAGACACGGTGCTGTGGCTGACATCCTTGTCTATGTCAGATATGAGGATGAGGAACAAGATGGGAGCGAGTACTGTGCCTTGTGGAACAGAGCTTTTCACCGTGCCTGCCTCGGACTTTACTCTGTTGACTACTACTCTCTGTGTTCTGTTAGTGAGGAAATTATAGATCCATCGACCGACTTTTCCTGTTATTCCTTTAGCACGCATTTTGTGCGCTATTACGCCATGGTCACACTTGTCGAAGGCTTTTGCAAAGTCTGTATATATTACATCTGAATTCTTTTTGTCTTCTAGTGCATCTAGGACCTTGTCGTAGTGATCCAATAGTTGAGACAGACAGGAGCGACCTGTTCTAAACCCATGTTGCCCTGGGTTGTGTAACTGATGGGTTTCTAGATGGGTGGTGATCTTGCTTCTTACGACTCTTTCAAAGATTTTTATGATATGGGATGTTAGTGCTATTGGTCTGTAGTTCTTTGCTGTTGCTTTACTGCCCCCTTTGTGGAGTGGGGCTATGTCTGTTGTTTTTAGTAACTGTGGGACGACCCCCGTGTCCATGCTCCCTCTCCATAGGATGGTAAAGGCTCGTGATAGGGGCTTCTTGCAGTTCTTGATGAACACGGAGTTCCATGAGTCTGGCCCTGGGGCAGAGTGCATGGGCATGTCATTTATCGCCTGTTCGAAGTCATTTGGCGTCAGGATAACATCAGACAGGCTTGTGTTAACCAAATTCTGTGGCTCTCTCATAAAAAATTAATTTTGATCTTCTACTCTCAGTCTGGTTAGTGGCTTGCTAAAAACTGAGTCATATTGGGACTTGAGTAGCTCACTCATTTCCTTGCTGTCATCTGTGTAGGACCCATCTTGTTTAAGTAAGGGCCCAATACTGGACGTTGTT